ATGTCATCCCAAATCTCATTCGATATGCGCACTGTAAGTCTGATGAGGCTGAAGTTGCCGCAAAGAGAAACGACGAGTAACATAAACCTTCACAACTGCGCTGTGTGAAGATTTTTGTGAAGGAAAGATGAAAGACACGTGATGCAAAACAGGGAAACATCCGAGTACGATCCTTAATGACAAGTATTCTTGTTTGCACCCTCACTTCGATGGAACCCTTTTATGCCTACGCTGGTGGTTCACCGCGTATTATATATGGACAAGTATCAACTGTCTTTTCCACGGCAGTACACCACATTCATTGGCGTAAGGGCAACTGGACATCAGCTAGACCATGCGAATTACAGTATGATCTGGAGGCTATGACCAACGTGAAAGCTACTTAAGAAAACGCTTATACCTTTATTGATTAGATCCCCGCTCAACGTCACCTTTTCCTTCCATGCACATTTAACAACGTGTTACTGTAACAGTTAGGATGCATTATGTTTACCAGCCGGGTGAAGAGAAGGTTAGTGACTCTGTATGACCAAAGTCTACGGCAGTCCATCAATTCAAAGGTTTCTTTCTTTAAGTATGAACCGTAACGAAGATTATTTTACGAATCATTCTTGTTTGCTGCGTATTTGAGTTGAATGGAGTACTCGTGTACAATAACCATAACGGAGTAAATACCGAACGAACGCACCATTATGCTATATAATATAGTAACAACACAAAAGTGTAAACACAAGAAGTAGACGCCAATATATTTTGTTGTATATACAGTAATATATTTAGCACCAGCTCCTGAAACAACGTTCAAGATGAGTTCGAAGTGGCTCTAGCGGACAAAATGATGTGGGACGCAGCTCACAATGCTATATATGACCCACCTGGCAACTAGCAGCCGTTCATGTTGTCACTCACGTCACGAAACCACGATGTCTTGAATGACTTATGCGCTACTTAACATTTCAGATGAGACAATTCCGAATTTCGAATTCGACTTTCAGAAGGCCAGCCTTAACCGACATATCGATCAGGTAAGCGTTAGGTTATGTCATGATAATCCATTGCAGAGAGCTGCATTACTGCGATCACCAAGCATTTTCGAACCTAGCAGAAGCCTTTCATCACAGAACAGGTGCGTTGTTGACATATGTTAACGGAGACCTGTCGTCAGTCGATTCGTTCGTTCGTCGATGCAGCTCGTAATATCAAAATCTGAAGAGTCGAGATGTGCGAATACAATGAATCTTAAGCAGCTACAAATGATCATGACAAATCAATCAGAAACAGCAAACGTTCACTGGCCTACTCTATCGCACAAACATATATTTTTGTCACACCTCTTTGTAGCTAGTTGTCTGGGGGAAGGGACCATTTAAGCAGGCTACAGCTTCGTGGAACTTGAACTTATGAGGTTCATAGACGCGAGACCAAGGTGCGTTCGAACATGATTCCATATAGCTGTGGCCTTCTTAAACTGGGACTTTAGACAGCTACAAGCAAGGGAACGACGATGGAAATATGCGGTGAAAAGTTGGGTGACACACATTAGGTCATTCTTGCCAGCGACATCAGAAACAGATTTACTGGCTGTTACCTCAGAGTACCAGAATCACGTTTGGTCGATACTTTTGAGCGTTCGCATATACGTATATATGAGTGATTACATATGCATGAAACTGAGTGATTACATATGCATTATGTCCGTGACAGTCAGATCTCACAATGAAGAATGGTGCACAATGCGTATGGTTTTCGCTCTCAAATCATCACAGTAATTCTGCGTTACAACGTCTTGAACTCTGTACGAGGAACACGGCACTTTCACCTATGGCTACACCAAAAGACGTTTCAGGTGTCTTTGACGTTACACCTATGTCACCGCAGTCGGCAGGGTGACGTGCAGTGAAGTGCAATGTAGGACACACAAGTGAACGGTTAA